GCCTGGTAAGGGGATTTCTTTAGTCATATATTGGATTTTAAACTTTAATTACTGAAAGGGGTATCAGCCAAATATTCCTGGTTATTGGAATGAGAAAGCTGTAATTTTTTTTTGGTCTCAGAAATACTGTGTGAATTTTTTTCATGTTCATTAAGTCAGGAAGGTTGCTCTCCAGTGTACCTTATGCAACTCCCCAGTGCTTCAGCTTAAACTTGGCTCATTCAGTTCTGCATGTAGAAGGTCTCCTTTAGAAGTGCAAAGATTAGAGGAACTGTAAAGATTAGATTTAAATTTCTTGGAAGTGTTTTGATTCTGAAAGGGGTCTGTCTTCCTTCCCATTCACTGGAGGGCTTGGGGAAATGTTCTTGCCTGGTAAGGGGATTTCTTTAGTCATATATTGGATTTTAAACTTTAATTACTGAAAGGGGTATCAGCCAAATATTCCTGGTTATTGGAATGAGAAAGCTGTAATTTTTTTTTGGTCTCAGAAATACTGTGTGAATTTTTTTCATGTTCATTAAGTCAGGAAGGTTGCTCTCCAGTGTACCTTGTATGACTTATAAGTGCAGGTGTCAAAACCGTTAGCATAGTGGTGTTAAACATACTTCATGTATCTGCATAACTAGATAAACACAACTTCTTGAGGTTTTATTTTTATGGGTATTTGTATAAAGGGAAGAGAGTGCTGATGGAAGGAACGGTGGCTGATGTTTTTGTACTCCCCTCCTCCTCCCCTTCCCTTCAGTTACAATACTGTTGGTGTTAACCATATTGATGGTGTCCGTTAGCAGTATTTTGTAAATATTTTGCCTGATGTGCAGTGACAGCCCTTAAATCAAAGGGAGGAGAGAGGCAGAATACTTTGAGCATAATCTATGACTGACTACTAATGTGGGTTACCATCTGGAAAACTGATGCAAAGCAGCTGCAGCTTTTGGCATCTGACAAGGTTGTAAAGCTTGCCTCTTTCAGTGCTGAAACGGACTTATTTGAGCTCCTGCATCTGTTTCAAGGTGTGAATTTCACAATGTGACAGCGACCATGTTGCACATAATCCACTACAAAGTATTTCCCACTTGGCTCGTTCTTTATGCACTTGATTTACTTTTTTTTTTTTGGTCTGTAGAAAGCTTGCAGTAGAGGCAAAGATCTAGTTAAACTTCTGAAATCTGAATGGTGTGGTCTATGAATTTATGTTCGTGGAGGACTATCTGACGTGGGAGGGACCCCAGGCTGGAGCAGGGGCAGAGGGTGAGGAGTCCTCCCCTGAGGAGGAAGGAGTGACAGAGACAACGGGTGATGAACTGATCGCAGTCCTCATTCCTGTGCCACTCAGGGGGAGGAGGTAGAGAAGATCAGGAGTAAAGTCAAGCCTGAGAAGAAAGGAGGGGTGGGGGGAAGTTGTTTTTTAAGATTTGGTTTTATTTCTCATTGTTCTGCTCTGATTTGACTGCTAATAAATTAATTTCACCAACCTGAGTCTGTTTTCCCCATGATGATAACTGATGAGTGATCTCTCCCTGTCCTTATCTTAACCCCTGTAGTAGGAGTAGTACTGGTGAAAGCTAACTGCAGAACATTCTGTGGACATGGAAATACTAGTATGAACATCCCCCTACCTTTTACTACTTTGAGATGCTGTTGCCCAACAAATGAAGTGGAGACCTAAGGTTTTGGATCAGTAGTAGCTGCTACTGGTAAACCTCAAAAAAGCTGTGCAAAACTGTTCCAAGTTTTCTTATCTTGTTCAACAGAACAAGTTTTGTCTTGTTTTCCCTTGCCAAGCTCTCTTAACTGATTGTTTATTCTACAACATGTAGATTGTAAACTGCTTAATGTTGGAGGCATTCCTTTTAAAGCAGGATTTTTGTGCAGAATTTTCACGTTTCTTGGTTGAGAAAGTGGGATTTGGACTGAAATTATGTATGGCTGGAGGGGATTGATACCTTATATTAGAGAAGACGCTCAGAGAGATACTCCTCTGTGGCGTTTTGGAAAGTCCCAAAGAGCTCTAGCCTGTGTTGAACAGTATCAACTTTATTGGGCAACATCATATGGTGCTAGCAGTTAGTCTGGAGACTGTACTTGGTCAATTGTACTTGCCCTTCCTTGTTAGATATCTGTGCCATAGGTATATTTTAATTGGTTTACTGACTATAATGACTACTGTATGCTTCTAAATTTACTTTGTTGAGCCAGCATAGCAAAATTGCAACAGATTTCATGGTAAACTCAATTTTAAAATAATTTGATTTTTCTCTATGCATCCCATTGAAAGCTGTGAAATGGAATGCCTATCACTGAGGAGAATAAACAAAAATCTGCAGTTTGAGAACTGTTTGAGTTCTGCCAACCAGACTAGAAAATACTTATTTTTACTCATAAACTGAAGACATTTGAACTAAGAATTAAGACCAAGTGTTAATCCATGAAATGACTCTCATTTTGACATAGTTTTTTTTTATTACACTGTGTTCTGTCTTTATATTTATACTTTTTTTTTTTTAAGGAGAACTCTAGCATCCAGTGCTTATCTATTCTGTGGGCATTGAGGGAGGAAACCGAAGAATTTGTACATTTAAATTGGGATTCTCGACTGTTCTTTACTTCCCTTAGGCTGTACACTGGTTTTGTTAGAGTACTGTGACTTCTAAAAGGGAAATAGTTTTATTTCAAACCTTCCTCAGCTGCATTTACATTGTATTTGCAATCATTTCAGGTATGATTTGCTTGTGGCGGTTGCTGGAGCAGGTCACAGGACGCTTCCATTGTTTTTTTTGTCTGGAACGTTTTGCTGTTGACTCTGCTAATTGCTTTCTAGATGTGAAAATAAACTAGAGGCTCTTTAAAAGGTTTCAGTTTGTTTTCCTTCCTTACTTATGGGTTGCTTCTGACAGAACTGGGAGATTCATTGGCTTGTGATGCTATTCATGAGCCTGCAATAAAAGATTCTTTCAGTCTTTCTCTCATCTTCTTTCAACAAGGCTCAGCATTCGTATATGGTCCTCAGTCTTTTTTTGATTCATAGATGATAGCAGAAGTCAAGTGTGCCTCTTGAACAGTATGCAAATGTTGAGATAAAATCTAGGTTTTCCTGTGATAATTACAATCCTGGCTGAGTTGAACATTTAGTGCAGGTTACAAATCAAGCCTGGTGTTACTGCCTACTTGCTGAATGAGAGTCTGCTTTCAGAGTGTAACCCTTCCTACTTCATACTCTTCAGGTGCAGGGGATATACAATTTGGGGATTTCTTTTGGGGGAGAAGCAGACTGGAGAGTAAGATTCATGTCTGCCTAACCTATTCCTAGAAAGTACAGGTTTGTGTTGCTTAGGAGAACTTGTTTGGATTCCAGATATAGAGATAAATCTGCTTTGTCATCCCTTCTCATTGAACCGCTAGAAGGCTGTTCTTGGACTCGATTGTTTCAGTCACTTAGAACTAAGAATTCCAGACAGTTTTAAGCACAGCTACCTCATTCCTTCTTACTTTTGTGCCAGCATAGTTTCTATTCTCTCTCCACTGCTTACTTTGATCTGTGGGTAGAAAACAGACATACCTCAATTGCATCTTTTTTGGTTTTTATTTTCTTTCTTAAGCTCTTCCTAAAATACGTTCTTTATCCTAACAACTGCTAGGGTTCAAGTTCTGTAGCCTTACTAGAAGACTCCTAAAAGGAAAGATGTGAATGCTGTTGAGTCATTGTTCCAACATTGACATATATGACATCTACTTATGTGGATGTCATAATCCACAAAATGTCAACCCTTTGCACCTTTTGTTTCACTATTAATGTTCTTGATAAATAGTTTGGTTATGGGACACTTGGTATTGCCTTCTAGAATTGAAGGCTTTCTTTGGTTTGGTTCTGAGGAGTCTTTCTGATTTGTTAGTAGTGAAGATGCCTGCTTCCATTTTGTGTGAATGCTTGAGGAAAAGTAATTTGATTTCTCTTTGCTTCTGCGTGGGGTTTATAATGCAAGTACCATAAAGAAAACATCAGGATTGTCTGTCAAATGTATTATTGAAAAAGCACTCTAAAGCATAACATTATGTAGAAGCTTGAAATCGGGTTTCTTCTTTCCCTGCAGAAGTTAAAAAGCCCAGTAAACTCTTGGAGCAGGTACTTGGCTTCATGCCAAGAAACTAGGCATGAGGTGCTGACTGCAGTGCATCTAAGCCTAGTAAAATCCGACTTCTCAAAATTAAACCTAAACTCAACTTGAAATTATGAATTCCTCTGGGTCTAGTATTTTTCATGTAGAAAGCATACCTAAAGGCTATGCTTTTGTATGACGATTTAAAAACCAGGAGTGACTTGGCAAGAAAGTAAATGAATAATGAGACTGCTCCGGTAAGCTCTTGCTGATTGTAGGTAGGCAAGCAAGCAAGGGAAGCAAGCACCAGTGCATTATATCTGCTGTGCAAATACATTTCATGTGTTTGTTAATTACATCTTACTGCTATTAATGTATTGGTGTAGCCTGTGAACTTAATGTAAAAGACTTTGCAGCTGACAAATCAAGTCTTCATTCCAAGCTACTTGCAAAAGCCTTGAAGTTTAGGCTATGTGAAGATAGTTATGTGAGGTTTCTAGTGTATATACACACGCAGGAAAATACAAACTGTACTCTTTTTTCCCCCATTTCTTATCTAATGTATGTAGTTTGAATTTCAAGAATTAAGAGCTGACTACAGATGCAAAATAAGAGCAGAGGGTAGTAGGAGTAAGCAAAAATTGTTAACTGTGTACAGTTAACATGATGAGTTGTTGCGTACAGTTCTAACATAATAGAAACAAAACTTGTCCGAATTAAATAAGCTTATGTTGGATTATGCAACAGATAAATATTAGCTTTTTATATTATAAGTACTGGGATTTCCTTGTAACTCCTCCTTTTATCCTCTTAATAGAGCTTACATAAGAGTAATATGAAATGTGCATGTGACAATTAGTTTTCCATTCCTACTTAATTGTAAAATATTTGCATTTCAGCTCAAATCAAAGACAAAATTAAAGAAAGGGAAAAGAAGCAAAAAGAGAAGAAGAAGCACAAAATAATGAATGAAATCAAGAAAGAAAATGGAGAGGTCAAATTATTGCAGAAAGGTAGGTTCAAACTATGTAGTGGTATTTCATCCTAGTGCTTTAAAATCTTTTTGTAATTGGATTGGATACTGACTTTTAATACTATGTTTTTCGTTTAACTTAAATGCTACTTTCCCTGATTAGTTGGTAGGTTGCAAATTAAAACTTCATTACAAATGGTAATTGTTTTTGTCAGCTGTGTTAGGTACAGGAGATTATAACTATCACTACAACATTGCTTATACAGTGGTAGTAAAGACTAGTACTTCAAGGAATAATACTGGTGATAACCTACATATTCTCTGCAGTTACTGAAGAAGGTTATCATTCTGTATATTGTGGAGAAGAAAAATGAATCCGTGTCACGTCTTATATCTAACATTAAATGCACGAAACTGCATAACTAAGGAGTTATAATTCAGGAACTTTGTCAAATACTAAAAAATTGTGTGCAACAGGCAGTCTTAATTTTGGCTAATTACTTCAACTTCATTTACTATAATGGAATGTAATTAAGATCACGTTCTCACACTTGCTTGTACATCCACTGAATCTTAGAGTTGTACAGTAGTTGCGATTGGAAGGGACCCAGTCCAATGCCACTGCTCAAAGTAGGATCAACTAGAGCAGGTTGCCCATGACTATCATACTCTGTGTGTCTCCAAGAGTGGAGGCTCCACAGTCTCTCTGGGTGACCAGTATCAGTATTTGACCACTCTTGCAGTAAAAACAGTGTTGTCTTGTGTTTAAAAGGAATTTCTTTTATTTCAATTTGTACCTGTTCCCTCTTGTCTTGTCACTGGATGCCTCTGAGAATTGTCCTACATCTGGGGAAGAATAACCCCAAGCACTGGTACATACTGGGAGCTGACCAGCTGGAAAGCAGCTTTGCTGAGAAGGACCTTGGGGCTCTGGCAGACCGCAAGCTGACCGTGAGCCAGCAGTACACCTTCACGGCAAAAAAAGGCCAACAGTACCATGGACTGCAGTAGGAAGAGTGGTGCCAGCAGGCTGAGGGAGGTTGTCCTTCTCCTCTACTCAATGCTGCTGAGGCTGCATCTGGAGTACTGGGTCCAGTTCTGGGCTCCTCAGTACAAGAAAGATATGGACTTATTGGAGCAAGTTCATCACATGGCCGAAGATGGTGAAAGCACTGGAGTATCTAGTAGGGCCGGTTGCAATAGGGCAAGGGGTAATGGTTTTAAACTAAAAGAGAGTAGATTCAGACTAGATACAAGGAAGAAATTTTTTACAGTGAGGGTGGTGAAACACTGGAAACAGTTGCCCAGAGAGGTGGTAGATGCCCCATCTCTGGGAACATTCAAGGTCAGGTTGGATGGGGCTCTGAGCAGCCTGATCTAGTGGAAGATGACCCTGTTCGTGGCAGAGGGGTTGGACTAGGTGACCTTTAGAGGTCCCTTCCGATCCAAACTATTCTGTGATTCTGTTCTATGATCTTTCCTATGAGGAAAGGCTGGGACAGCTGGGAATGATCAGCCTGGAAAAGAGGAGGCTCAAGAGGAATCTCATCAATGTGTATAAACACCTGGTGGAAAGGAATCAAGAAGATATAGAGCTAAACTCTTCTCAGCAGTGATTGGTGACAAGACAGGAGGCAGTGGACACAACTTAAAACACGTGGAATTCTGTCTGAATGTAAGAAAAAAAACTTTCTTACTCTGAGAGTGGTTGAGTACTGGCACAGGTTGCCTACAGAGGTTGTAAAACCTGACTGGACACGGTCGTGGGCAGCCTGCTCTAGGTGACTGTGCTTGAGCAGGGGGATTGGACTAAATGATACCAAGAAGTCCCTTCCAACCTCAGTGCTTCTGAGTCTGGCTACGTCTTTACACCCTCTGGTCAGATATTTGTACACACTGATAAAATTCTTCTGCCGTCTGCCCTTTCTTTTCTCTTGCTCTCAACCTCTCCTTGTGTGAGTGATGCTCTGTTCCCTTAATCGTTTCCGGGGCCCTTTGCTGGACTTGCTCCACTATCCCCCTGTCTGCCTCACACTGGCAAGCCCGGAACTGGACAGGATACTCCAGATGTGTCTCGCCAGTGATGAGCAGAGGGGAAGAACCATCTCCCTCAACCTGCTGGCAGTGCTCTTCCTAATCCTGTCCAGGAGGCTGCTGGCCTGCTTTACCACAAAGGCACATTGATGGCTTATGGTCAGCCTGTCATCCACCAGGATCTCCACGTCCTTCTCTGTTGGGCTGCTGCCCAGTCAGTTGGTCCTCAGCCTGGGCTAGCGCACAGGGTTACTCCTCCCAGGTACAGGGCTTTGCATGTCCCTGTGTTAACTTCATGAGTCCCCTGAGCTGGCCCGTTTTTACAGCCTCTCAAGGTCCCTCTCTCGCTAGCCATGCAACCCTGTGGTGCGTCAACTGCTCCTTCCAGTTTTGTATCACCTGCAAACTTGCTGAGGGCGTGCTCTGTCCCACGATGTCGACCGTTAATGAAGACGTTGAACAGTATTGGCACAAGGCATCAATGTCCAAGTTAGTCCGGTAGCGACTATTTTCCAGGTGGTCTTTGTGCTGCTGATCACAGTCCTCCGAGCATGGCAGTTAGGCACGTCGTTGATCCACCTCACTCTTTGCTGATCTAGGTCATGCTGCATCAGTTTTTCTGTGAGGGTGTTGGTTATTTAAGTAGACCAATTTTTTTTTATCTGTTATTTTCAGACTCTGCTTTTGAAGTTAGGAACAAATTTCGGATATATTTTTCTGTTATTTTGTCTTCTGTAGGATTTGGTTTACAAACAAAAAACTGAAACCCCCAAACCAAAATGCTATCTTCCAAATGTTCATAGGAGGTCAGAGGCATGGAACCCTGTAATTACTACATCACATACTATGCTGTACTCACAGCTCCAAGTAACTGTGTTAGCAACTATGACAGCTTAAAACCTGTCTTGACCAGATTGTAAGATATCAGCTTAGACCAACAGGAATGTGTAAGCTGGTGGCTTCCTGTGAAAAGAACAGATGTGGCTTGTCTGTGCTGAGCATGAAAGGAAGTTGGTGGTTGAGATCCTGGGCAACACTTAACTGCCTCAACAGTGAAGTTCTTCAGGTTTTGTTTGTGTATCAGCCTTTTTTTACACTGTCCTATTTCTGTTGCCATTCAGCAGATGAGATGGAAGCTGCAAAGACAGCAAGTCTTGTTATGCAGATCTAATAAATGTTAACTGATGGAGGTATTGGGCCTCAAATGGTGCTTTATTTTCAAGTTAATATAAAAAAGCATATGCACAGGGTCTGCGTTAGAACACCTCTGCTGTTCTGAGCTAGTTGAGTAGCAGGATAGGTTATTCTCAGAGAGAACAGTGCTATAAGTGTGTTAGGTGCCTTATCCCTGTTTTGTGGATCTTACATGTTATCAGTCAAGTAATATGTTTTAGGTTTTCTTTAAGATGTTGATGGGAAGTGTTTTGTAGAGGCTATGTTTGGTTTGCCAGTATACTGCAAAATTGACTCCTATTTCAGGGAAAGAAGGGAGTGTGTAAGGAGAGCAGTTATTTAGAGCAGACAGATCCTCTCCACTGGGTTTTTATCCTGTTCAGAACAGCAGCTCTGGATGTCTTCTGTGGGCTTCCAAAATCTGACTAGATGTGCTTGTATGTGCTGTGAAGTTTGTATAATACTTCCTGATTCCTTCTGATGATCGAGCTCTATATCCTGGAAGCTGAGGGCAAGAGAGCAAAGGCAAAAGTGCTTTAAGATGCAACTTCTATGTATCAGTGGTCAGTGCCTCTGTGACCTTCTCAAACGTTCTTAACTCTTCATCTAAGGATATCTTCTTCCTGTGGAACATAAGTTAAGCTCCAAGCCCTTTTGTTCTGAGCTCAGAATTCACTGTGTGGGCTTAGGAACAAAGATTTGGAACTAGGCTACTTTCTCGTATTCTTTGGTTCTTTGGTTTTGTAGTTGGGGTTTTTTTGTGTGTGTATTAGAAGTCTACAGTACTGGTCTCTAAAGACAGCTTATTTCCTTCTTCTAGGCATTAGGTCTATATCTTGGTGTAAAATGTTACTCTGACTATCTGCTGAATGCTGTTCTTATGTTGAGAATATTGTTAGTGTTTTGGTTTTTGTCTTTTCTGGTGTGTGTTTTGTTGTGTGTTGTTTTTTGTTTGTTTTGTTTTTTTTTTTCCTGTTTGTGACTTACTTTCGTTGAGGGAGTGGAGATGATAGCCTCTCTGACTTCAGGCAGTTAAACTAGCTGTCCAAGATAAAGGGAGGCTAATTACAGAAGAAGAGATTGGTACTATGGACTGATGCCTTTTGAGGGAGAGTTTTGAGAGTGCATAAGCCTGATTTTGGTGCCTTGAGCTGAATGTGGAAGAGTTTTCTATTAGGAAGCTTAGGGATGTAAACTGTTCATCTACCTAAATTTGGGTTGCTGTTCCATTGAAAGCAATGATCAAACTTGCCTACATTGGAGAAGGGCAACTCTTAAAAAGGGTATTTTTGCAGTTCCCGAGGCTGCTAAAGGAAATGTGTTTGACTCTTTCAGAGAGCCTGGTAGCTTTTCTTACACATTTAGAATGAAAAGTTTTTTTTTGTCATTCTTTGGCACTTGCAGGTGTATTCTCTGTAGAATAAGGCTATATAATTGCTCCTTTTTCTGTCTGTTATGTGGAAGGAAGAGCTCAGTTTCTGGAAGACTTCTTGGCGCATGCGTATTGTTAAAAATTCAGGAAATATAAGTGATTTAAACTTACTTTTCAAAAAATCTGCGTAATGAAAAAGTTACCTTTTAGAAATTGAAAGCTTCATACAAAAAAAATTCACACCAATGTGACATGGCTGAGGGTTACTGGAGGTCCTGCAAAAAGAAGAAGGTTTAATGGGCTTATTTGTAAACAGTCCCATTTGTATTTTCCCTCTTTAAAAAAAAAAAGTCAGTCTTATTTTTCTCATCACTTATATCAGAACACAGCATTTTCTAAAATGCAAGAGAAATTCTTAGTGTGTGTTTCTGCAAGATTAAATGCCTTGGTTTATGGAGTGC